TAGGATAAACTAAAATCCTTCTTAATAGTCTAAAGTTCTCCAAGAGAGGAAGGGTAAGAGCAAGGGGTCATTTGCATAAAGGGGATACTTCACTTTTCCCCTGGTGTTGATATTGGTGTATTGAAGGAATTACAGTATGGCCTCTGAGTGCTGCAGAGGAGGCCATTCAGATTACACTTAGGAATCAACCATTTTTTCTGACAGTGAGGGAAAATGCTTAGATAAGATTGGATGTCTTCTGAACCTCATCTACTTCATAGTATCTTACTGATTCTTAGTGATGAAATCTCTAAATGTAATTAAAGGCTGAGCTGACCTAATTAGGTTGATGAAATTTTCAGTAGGGATTTAATTCCCTCTAGAACCTCACTCAATTTTTTTTCTTTAGAATCCTTCTTTAGGTTTATGCCAAGCAATTAGTGGCAGCATTTTTAAATTTCCTCACATGCACAGAGCCTCCACTCAAACAAGTGATTGTAAAGCCTCCAGCATGTACATATGGCTGAAAACAAACTTTAAATGAAGGAATCTAAGGTTGTTTTTTTTTTTTTAATCAAATATTTGTTTCTAATCAAATACAAATATTTTCTTCCTAGCAAACTGTATTAAGTAACGTTTACCCTGTAGGAGGGAAATAGATGTTTCAAAGCATTTGGGGGGCATTGGGAGTAAGAAACGCATAGTACAGGACAGATTCTAAGACCCTATGTTGAAAAAACTCATCACTAGAAAAAGGGCTGGTGGAGTGGCTCAAGGTGTAGATCCTGAATTCAAACCCCAGTACTGAAAATAATAAAATAAATCATATTTAAAAGCCTATTTTTAATGATTTACTATCTTGTAGGAATTTTGTACAAGTGGGCTTTGTATAATAGTCACTCATCATTCACAAGTTTTCCTTTATCTTTCCTGAAATTTCTATCAGTGAAAGGTATTTTCTGTGAGTTCAAACATTTTGCCAAAGGCTTTTTTGATTTATGCATGATAAAAATATAAACATTTAAAAAATTTTATTGATTCCTCTATTTGAAATTCCTAGCCATTCAAGATTTATTCTCATTTTAAGCAGTGTACTAAATGAAGGTCAGAAAAGTCTTACCAAATGTTAACTAATTTTATTTTATTTTGAAATTTGATAAACACTTTAGCAAAAGTAACTTTCTCATTAAGAGGACTGATTGCTCTAAGTGTAAGTCAAGTCTCATTTCACATGATCAAACGTGAGAGTAAGTGAAGAACTGAGTAGCTTCTAATGAAAATAAGATCATAGGCTGTTTCAATAAGTTGACCATTTTCCTTTTTTACTTTAATTTTTATTTTAAAGAATGAATATATGATTTAGTAAGACTGATAGGCCATCTCTAGTTTTCTACCTTGATTGTCATTGAATGTACATTGAATATTCAATGAAATAGAGTCAGCCAATCAAATATCATATTTCATCTGTCAAGATTCTGTGTTCTCAGCCTACCTTATCACTCCATTACTTTTGGTCAAGTAACTCCTCTAGGTCCATTTCTCCATTTCTAAAAGAAGTAGACTGGATTTGGAGAATGATTTCTAGGATTCTTCCTACTCTAAAATTTCATCTATGACTTTAGACAAGGCAGTCTTAAGAATCTCTCTCAAGGCCAGTTATCTGAAGGGGTATTACATACTAGATTGAATAAAATATTATGACCCCAAATGAAGTTATAATGAAGGCATTATGCATGCAGTATGAAGTTAGTGAAATGTACATAAAGGATATTTGGTGAGAATGAACATTGGTATATTCCTCTCTTCACAACCTCTACAAAGCTGACCTGTCTGAAATAAGGTGATTTAACTCAAAGTCCATAATGTTTTATCACTATTTCATTTCAGAGTTAGGAAGAGTAGGGCATTCCAAACAGCCATTCCAGCATGGATAGAAACTAGGAACTTCTGAAAAAGCTCCTTGTTTTGATTTATATGCTGGATATGACTGTATCCTTCTACCTTCTACTTTGTCAAAAGGAAATAAAGTGAAAGAGATTACAGAAGTCAAGAAAAAAATGCAATTTAGGTTGAAATACACATTTACATGGAAGCAATGCTAGGAATCTCTCTGTGTAGCTTTCCATATCTCAACTAGCAAAAACAATATGTCTTTCTTATTATTACTTATGTCTTCTCTTCAAGAAAGTTGTAGTACAGGGCAGAACAGGTTCTGCTTGGAAGAGAAGAGGGTGGGGGGAGGGGGAAAAGGAGGGTGAGGGGGGAGAAATGGCTCAAACAATGTATGCACATATTAATAAATTTTTTAAAAAAATTTTAATTTAAGAAAAATTGGCAATACTTGCTCTAAACACATACTCCAGTTTTGAAAGGGAGAGATAAATAAAGTGGAGAGATTCTTATCCAAATACTAGAGAGACAAGAATATGAATGAACCTCCTTTTTATGTACTCACTAGTTGCCAACTAAAAGTTATTTGGAAGACCACCTGACTTATTATTTTTTTTGTTATTGTGGTTTTTGTGATTGAAATGTTAACATAAAAATAAATGAATATTAAAGTATATGAACTCATAAACATTTTAATGTTAAAGATGTTAATCTGGAGCATAGTTTAATTTGAAACTGTCATTTCAGATTAAGGCAATTAACTGCAGCTTCATACAATTTGCTTCATCCATGAAGAAATGGCAGAAGACCATGTGCTTCAGTTGAACCCAGGGATCACAGAAATCCTCATTTTTAATTTTTTTTGTTTTGCAGTACTGGGACTTGAACTCAGGGCTTTCACGTTGAGCCACTCCACCAGTCCTATTTTTGTGAAGGGGTTTTTGATATAGGGTCTTGAGAACTATTTGCCCAGGCTGGCTTCGAACCTCAACCCTCCTGATTTCTGCCCCCTGAGTAGCTAGGATTACAGGCATGAGCCACCGGTGTCCAGCAGCCTCCTCGGTTTTTACAGGATGCCCAATAAAGCTCTTTACCTAGATTTCCTTGCTAAAGATCTTTGGATTCAGGTTCCATTTCCAATCTACAACAGTTTTAACCTTTTATAGATAAAGTAGAGCTTAGGGCTGAGGTTTGGCTGACCTGGCTCACAATGAACATAAAGAAAATGGTGGGGATGGTTTGGGTAGGGTTCTGCCCCTACTTACCACCACCACAAAAGGGTTTTTGGAATCTTCTTGTGAAATATAATTATGATTTTACCATCTTTCTTCGTAACCTGAAGTACTTGCTCTCTCCTCTGCCAAATCATAGTCATCCTTTGAGATACATATTCTTTTATGCATTTTTCTTTGTCTATGAGAAGGCTCATTCATCTTACCCTCTTTTCAGCTCAAATAAGCATACTAACCATATCTTCTTCCTCAGTGGTTATTATACATTTCTAAAAAGCTATTTTTGTTTGCAGTGAACTTGAGGTTTTATACAATTTTCTATGGCAATGACTCAAACATTTCTGTTGGGACATGGTATATTATGGTACTTATGAGCACAAGGGTTTCTGAAATCAGACTTTGTGTTTGAGCTCTAGTATGCAACATATATTAGCTGTGGGACCTTCCCCAAGGAACTAACCTGCTTTGAACCTCAGTTTCTTTGTCTGAGAAATGCAGATAATAAAATTACTACCTATATTGAGAAGATCCTTGGAAATCTCTTTGGATAGTACTAAGCACTAAGCACTCTAGGGCTGGTGGAGTGGCTCAAGTGGTAAAGTGCTTACCCAGCAAGCACAAGGCCCTGGGTTCAAGCCCAAGTACCGCCAAAAAAAAAGAAATTCCAAGAATGAACTCTGAAAATATTAGTACTATTTTTATTGGAATGATAATAATTACTTTTATTACTTTATTATCACCCATAGAACTTGATCATAATATATTTTGTAAAGAGTAAAATTTCCTCTCTGAGGGGCAACCAATAACTCCCACTAGAAAGTATGGGTAGCTTTGGCCTTTCAGAACTGCATCTCTTTTCATCTACATTTTAAACACCCTTGGGACTATTCTCTATATACCTATAAACTGGGCAATGAAACATCCAGGATGCTCAGGTAACTGGAAGACAGGCAAGGATAACACAGCGTCACAGTGTCTATTTTTCATTAACGTTTACCCGAATCAAGTTTATATGATTAAGATCTTTTCTTTAGAATAAACCAAACTACATTATTGATTATAAGAAACATGTTTGGCTAACCATTAGCAAGTTCAACATTATTCAACTTTGTACTTTAGAAGTCTACATGATTAAATTGTAGCTATATAACATAGGAGAAACATCTGGTTCTAGTAGCCAGATGAAATTAAGTTATGCAGCTTTTATGGGAAATATTCATACAAGTTGAAATTCAAGGCCCTTTTGGTAATTCTCCACACCCTAACAAATTCTAATTCTATAAAAATTTACAACAGACAATAAGGGCTGAGAATGTGGGATCCTATTTTTTATCCTCTTATTTTTCTCAGGTAAATTCTCCAGATCACAATCAACACAGCTTTACCTTCTTCAGAGTATATTTTAAAATACTAGAACAAAATATTTCATTATACAGACTCATTTTATTTTTGTTTTCTGGTTTTGTTTTCTGTAGTTTCTTTTTTCTCTTCTGGCCTATTTTTTTTCTTCCCTTTTTCCTTTACTCTTAAATAAGTCACCACTGCACACATAACACCTAAGCCATTTAGCTACAAATGAGAAATTAAGTAATGGTAAGTACAATCTTAGACCCAACATCCCTTTTTGTTTGACTTTCTCTAATAGATCATATATTACTGTTCATGAAAATCTCCAATGTGACTTACTTACAGACTAGTAAAAAAAAAGGAACTTAATTCCTTCATAGTTTTATATGAGGTGACCCCCTTTCCCAAATCCTACATAAACCATAGAAGACTGAATTTAAGGTTGTGCCATTTGACTCTGGAAACATCAGGTCTTCAGCAAAGGTGCTTTCAGTCGGATCTGAAATGATGAGACCATGAATTAGGAATGATTCTGGTGACAGCAATATTTACCTCTTTGAGACAGCCCATAAAGTTGTTACTGACTGGTGACCCTGGAAGGTCGGCTGTGCTGGGACTGCCTCCAACATAGAAAAAGTCATCAGACCCCAGCATGGTGTAATCTTCTTGCGTGTAGCCCGTTGTGGTAAGAATCCCATCCACTGATATTGTCACCTAGATAACAAAGCACAGGGAAAGGACACGCTATACTCAGACCTAGATACTGTAATCCTGGGATATGCCTGTTTTGTGTTTTGTTTTGTTTTATTTTTTTGTTTTGCTTTTTGCTTTTTTTTTTTTCTATTTGTTTGGTTTTTAGTTTTAGACCTATGGAGGAACCCATTTTCATGTCTGTTTGAGGTTTATTCTTGGATTCTATTCAACTAACCCTAGAGATCTAAACTAGTTAGAGAGTTAACTGATTATTGAGCTAGTGTCAGCATCATCCCTATGGCAACTCAAAAGTTATTTAGCAGACACAAAAATGGTGTTAGTAAAATGCTTCCTAGGTTAGTTTTGCTGGTGTACATATTAGTAAAGTTTAGTTGTCTGTTATTAACTAATCACAACGTGCACCTTGTTAACATAAAAGGCGCAAGCTATTTCCAGCAACGTCACTATTTGCACTATTGAGCAGCAATTGTTCAGCATGCAAGTGCCTAAGTCCATGCCAAAAGGGGAGAAAAGGCAAAACAACCAGTAGAAGCAGCACACGCTGATGTGCACATGCAGGAGATACAGTACAGTTCAGAAAAGAACAGAAAGAAATTAGGGAGAACCAAAGGAAAAAAAAAAAAAAACTGCTTTGTGATGACGTAAAGATGAGTGGGTGTGGCATCTCCAGCATTCCCAAATCAAGTTTCCATGCCATGCATCATGAATGGTTAGAGACTGGCTGAGCCTGCGGTCACTCGGGCCAGCCACCATTTTTTCTTATCCCGTGTTAACCACAGCTGGATGCAAAAAACGTTTGAAACGTTAACGATGCCCCTACAGGTGAGTTGGAAAACAGAAGTTGACAGGAACAGGTAAAAAATAAGAAAGTCAACAACAGATGAAAGGAAGGAGGTCAAAGTAAGCAGAGAGTACCAACCGCAGTTCCTCTTTTGTTAATGATGTCTACAGTTAAAAGAAAGAAAGAAAACACACGGCAAACCCAAAATAAGAAACAATTAGAATGATATCTACCGAACAATGTAGTTTGTTTACCATAGCGTGTCCAATGCCTGAGTGCTTTGTGGAGAAGGGGGGAGAAAGGAAATTAAAAACTGTGAACAGAATAACGATCGTTACTTAAAAAATATGATGGTCTCTACCATGTTAGTACATTTTTTGATTCAGGTAACGGTTAGTAGAATGAAACATTCCATGAATGACATGTTAGTTATTAAGCATGTTAGTAACATAGAAAAAGGGCAAAAAAATTTTACGAGAAAAAAGCAGACTAACAAATAGGCCTCCCACAGAGGTAATATTTTTTCCTGCCATTATTTTTCATGTCTTGCCACTAGACAGAAACAGACACATGGCAACGTTCCCTTTGTCTGCCTGAGTACATCTGAGAGACATTGTAAAAAGTCTAAAAGGGAGTCAAAGGCCTGAAACTCATCAGCTGACCATTGCCGCTCTATGCCCATAATTGCTCCCGCCACCCTGCCCACCCTCCACCCCAGCAAATTAGTAGGAATTGTTTGGCATTGCCCTACTACTCAATTTTACAGCATACAAGGACTCCTCCTCAACTCCAAAACTTCCTTCGGTCATATTGATGGACTTTAGGGTCACAGTTTACTGCAATGAAACAAAGCAAAGATCCTGACACATAGAATGAGAAGAATGGATTTGTTTTTAATCTGTCCTGCCACACATGCACCCCAGCTGCATAACAACTACTGTTTCCTTGGAGCTACCAATTCACAGTTTGATTTATAACCTGAGCAAAGGCAAATCTAGAAAGTGGGCTACTCAAAACCCACCCTTCCTTCTGTGCTTCTCTCAAATGAGCCTCCGGTCTCTTGGTGAGTATCTGAGAGAAAAAATAAAAAAAGGAAAACCAAAGAGACAGACTTAACAGGAAATCTGTGGTCTACAGCTACACTAACGGTGGGCAACTATCTCCCAAGGCAGGTGTGAAGCATGCAGGGCCCCCTCCCACATCAATAAGACATCTGAAGTGTTTTGGGGGCTCTTGAGAATCTTTTGGTTTTACTTGTCTGCCTTAACTAGACTGAATCTCCATTCCTAAAGCTCCTTCTTGCTTCTCTAGCTCAGATAGCTTAAGCCTTTCAGAAGCGGGAAGGAAAAGGTTAGTCAACAGCTCAGAAAGAGAGGGCTGTTTTAGTAAAGGAAAACCAGAGACAATCCGGTCATTCTGCAACTGTTCAGAGAAACAACAAATATGTTAAGGATATTAGTTTGATGTCAGCATGTACTGCAAAAAAATTAGTCACTGTCAACACTTAACAAAATGATACATTGTAATATCATAAAATTTCACATGGTAACCAAAACTTATAATTATTAAAATATAAGGACAATAATTATTCACTTTTATATACTGTAATAATATGTCCGAGTTAAAAACATACAGTATATATGGACCTGTAAGTTTAGTAAAGGATTGCTATTTCCTGGTATATTGCCTTTTACAAGAATTTTTAAAAATATAATCAAACAGGAATGGGCACCTAGAAGACGAACTGGTCTCTCCAGAGTCATTTGGAGTTTAACTTAAAAGTGTCTGTGCTAAAAATAAAAATATCTTCATAAACGGAAACTTCAAAAGATAGGTAAACCCCCAAAGTCATTTCTCCCTTTCAGGGACTTTTTTTCTTCCCATTTTGGGGTGGGAGTAAAGAGGAAGTAGGGATTGATACAATCCCAAATCATAAACCCATTATTTTCTCTCTTTTTTTTTTTAACTACAAAAAAGGAACTGTGATTTAATGACCCCAATGTGCATGCTTCCAAATGATCACTATGAAAACTATAATTTAAAATCAAACAAACAAAAAACCAAAAACACAACAAAATCACACACATCACAGGAAGGGCAGGTTGCAGGGATATCCTTGCAGCCCTCTGGGAAATTGTCATATGTCACAGTATCAAAATAGCCTTTGGGCCCCCAGAACTTTCTAGATATGCCCCTGCTCAAGTATGGCAGGAAGATTCATCTCAGAAGAAAAAAAGCTTATTCGTAAGCGACTCTGAGGAGCCCTGTATCATACTGTTAGGGTTTTCAACTACCACACACACAGCTGCAGTGAGAAACAAAGCCAGTTACTCTCTTATCCACTGCGTTGTTACCTGACGCAGATTCCTGGTGACTTTCACATCATGCCAGGCATTATCATTAAACTTTCCATTCACAGGCTCCACTAGTGCTTCAAAGGCCCCTGATCCCAAATTAATGACCAGAGAGACAGCTCCATTTTTCAAGGCAAGGTTGACATAATCGGCTGATTTCCCAGTGTGAAGCATCAGTCCATTCCTCTGAAGAGTTTTAAAGGACAGAGTTATTTCATCGCTGCTGCTTTGAATGGGGTTTTGAGACAAGTCGTAGCAGAAGTATTCAGATCCCTTGAAAGTGGCAATATATTCTTCTTTTCCTAGAGGAAAACAGATATACACAGGCATAAGTAAAGAATTATACTATGCAAATCAGCAGATCTTTACCAAAACAATAAGTAATCAGCCTCCAAATGAACTCTTTGTCTAATTAACATTCATGGGAGCACACTGTCAAAGAGCCAAATAGTGCTGTAGGTGGCAGTATATTTTTAATAAACTTCCTCAGCTATTGGGCCATCAACTACAGTAGCTAAAACTGACATTCTTGAAAATTCAATTAATTTTTAAGTATCACTGCAAGAGTTCTGATCAGAGAAACTAGCTCTGTGATATCTCCAGGGCATGAATCAGGTACCATAAATGCATATTGGATGGTTCCACTCTACTGACAACAATGGATTCCAACATGTTTGCAACATTCTCTCCATCCAGCTGAGAAGTTATTTTAATTTTCAGTGAGACATTTATATTCAAAGATCTTTCTCAATGAAGAGCCAAATATTTTCATCACTGAGAGACCATAACAAATTATCTGGTGAGGGGAAAGGAAAGACAGAAAAAGTAGAATTTGTTCTGGGAATAAATAGATCTACACAGCATGTGCAACCTCCCCCACCTCCACCCCTCGATGGAGGGAGCAGTGATACAAAGTCCAATGGAGTGAGCTGGATTGTTAATTCATTTTCTGCCCTCACCAAGCAGATGGTAGGGCTGGCTTTTATGAGACTGTTAAGAATTCTAGCACATCGTCATGTGGGAAAGCATGTAAATGAAGTCTCAACATTTTCTACTTCGGAGTAACAATGTGGATTGCATAAGATACTACACAGATCAAACAGAAATGTGGTGACCTAGAAAGAGAAGTCCTCTCCCACTGATGAAGTAAGTTTAACTGAGGGAATAGCGTAAGCCAAAGCTCCGCAGACTTTTTTTTTTTCTCCTTTTATTTTATTGTTTTTACATTTACTTACATGTATGTACATTGTTTGTGCCACCTCCCCCTTAACCCCCAACTTTGACTTCTTAGGTGTGCCAAGAAAAATGAAATGGTAATCAGCTGGAATAAACTATAAATAAAGAATTACAAGACATACTGGAGAAAATTAATTTGTTCCACTGGTAATATAGCATGACAATATAGGTAATAGTATACTCACTGGAAAGTTTATATACCAGCAGGCTTTTTCACTCTTCCTCTGGCAACAGACTTTTTTTTTTTTTCTTGAGACATACTCTTAACTATGTTCCCCAGATTAACCTCAAATTTATGATTCTCCTTTCTCAACCTCCTGAAGGCTGGAATTACAAAGATGTTCCACCATGCCTGACTTGACAACAGGTTTTTACTTCAGAACTACATTCATAGTTAAATCGTGTCCTGGAATCAGAGCTCAAATCAAGATTTCAGCAAATCGGGGCTAGATGATCTCACTTCCTGAATGCAGAAACTGCCATAAGTGGCTATAGAAGTTGAACCATGGCACTAAGATAGTGAGCATTGAGCCCTGTTAGAATAGTCACTGGCTAATACTAAATAATTACTGAAGACTAGTAGTCAGGCAAAACAGACCACATTCTGAATCAGGGTCACAGCAAAGACAACCCAGTTGCTAACAGCGGGTCCCTTCCATTCATACATTCAAGATGGTGACTAAGCACCTCCCAAGTGTTAAGTCCAATACTGGTTTTTAGCAATAATGGAGCGACACAGAGAGCATAATTCCTTTGTCAGAATGTTTATGTACAGGTGTCTGCTCTACTGGTCAACATGGCAGGTGGCTCAATATTGATCAGTAGCACAACTAAGTATCACTGTTATATTAGGGGAAAGTATGGGCCAAAGTTTAGATCCAAACTTGGTTACTTGGTAATTGTCACTTGGCAATTGTCTGTCTTTAAAATCTCAGTTTCTGAAAATGGTTGGTGATACCAATCTTTCAAGATTGATTTAAGAATAAAATGTTGGTACAGTCATCTGGTAAAGTTGGTGAATGGTGGATTTCTTCCTCCTTGCCTAACTACTGTAATAAATATGACAAACGATTAACAACAAAAACCATATTATACTTATTGTGAAATCCAGAATATTCCCTTTAAGATCAGAAATAGGACTAGGATTTGCAGGACCCATGTTGCTATTCAATACTATTCTTGAAGTTACTTACTGCTAATACAGAAAGACAAAAAAAATATGAAGAGTACAAAGACTATAATTGAGGAAAATAATGTCATATTAGCATATATGATTTTATGAACTGAGAGAGCAAAATATCCCATAAAAATTATTTGGCTTCTTAAGATATTTTAGAAAGATTGCAGCTTTCTATACTTTTGAGAAAATCAATGTTTTAACACATATTAATAGATCTATAGATTCAATGAAAATTTTTTTTTCAGTACTGGGGTTCGAACTCAGGGCTTCACACTTACTAGATAAGTATTCTACCACTTGAACTAAGTCTGCAGCAAGATTCAATAAAACTCTAATAAAAATCTTAATGAAGTTTTAAAGTGAATGTGCAAAGCTGATTCTATGAGTTCTATGGGAAAAATTTAAAAACCCCAAATTAGCAACATCTGCCAGAGAAAGAAGATGAAGCAACTTGCCTATGTAAAGATGTACATTTATTGGAAAACTAAGAGAGCACATTAAAATAGATAAAAGGATAATGAACATAAAGATGATCAATCAAATTAAAAACACTACAAAGTATATATAAATTTTTTTTATTAAGTTAGGCACTGCTGGTAAATGAGGAAAGGGTCCTTTAGTCAATAAATGGTGTGGGACCTCTGGCTATCTATAAGCACAGAATGAAATAGGATCTATACCATTTTATTAACAAAAGACAGTTGTTCTAGTTGGACTAAGGATATAATTTGGAAAAGCAAATCCATAAGTTTTCTAAGACAAGGAATCATGATACTAAAGTATAGAGGGATTTATACAACAGGCACAAAAAACATTAATAAAATATTGGTCAATTAAAATTAGGAAAGTATGTTTATCAATAATAGCATAAAGAAAGTGTGAAGTTAAGTTAAAAATTAAGGTAAAATATTTTCATTTCATATTAATTGACAAAAGACTACAATCCAGTATTTGGCAAGTACCCTAATAAATCAACATATAATAGAGAAAGTGGACAGAAGACATAAATAGAAATTTCATTAAAAAAATATGGTCCATGAGTAAATAATCTTATCAGTATTCAAAGAAAGGTAGAAATGAAATTATATTCAGCTATCATTTCACAACCATTAAATGAACAAAAATTTAACACAGAAAAAGTCCCAATTTTGGCAAAGCTGTTCACATTCATTCTTATCCACTGTTGATGACAGTGCTGATAAGACAAAAACTGACCAACTACAACAAACTTTGTTTGGCATTGTGCAGTTCTATGAGAATCCCACATATTATAAAGAACTGGGGGTACTAGCCCTTAGAAAATAGTTAACATAATCAATAAAAATAACATTCTTCAATTTTTTCAATCATTTCTCAAGGGTATTCTGACTTTTTGATAACAGATGATTAAAGCAGATGGTGGGTCATACACATATACATACACCATCCATACTTAGATCCACTTTTCTGAAGATGATGTGAAAAAAATTTACAGTCCTCTTGATACTCAGAATAGATCTCTGAGCTAGAAGGAGCTTTTGAGACCCTCCTCTAACTCAACCTCAGTTTGTGGTATTGAAAAAGTGAAGCCAGTGGAGTTCAAATGACTGTCAAGTTGATAAAACATGCCAGTAACAGAAGCAAAACTAGAATTCAGCCTCCTGACTACTAATCTAGTTTCTGTCTAATATGTCATGCCACCTGTATGTCAGGAAGAGGCATCGTATGGCATTCTAAAAGTAAGGGAAAGAGACAAAAGAATTGTCTGTGAAGTGGTGTCTTAGTAAGAAAAAAGTAATTCTGCTTAGCTTACTTAATATAAGAAGGTAGGGAAGCATATAACATATGCAGAAAGATTTCACTGAAATAACTAAACAACAGATTGTGGAACTTAAAGAGGTTTGGAACAACCAAAAGTCTATAGCATTTTATCCAAGAGACCTCAAATTATTACAAGTCTGTGTAACTCAGAATAAATTTCAAGAAAAGGATTGCTTTGTTAAATGTGGCAGAGCAGAGAGGAAAAATAGTAAACAGAGTTAATAGTTCATAAGGTTACACAAGTTTGATTTTGCGTGATGGTATCTTTTAATATCTGTTACTATTTATGTCACTTAAAAATGAAAATATATCACTTTTTTTATATTATTTAATTCCAAAGTTAAGATAATTTGCATTGGCATTAAGTGCAATCACAGAGCTTTGGAAATATCTACAGTATGGAATATGCAATTATCTTAAGATGCCATAAATGAGGCAGGAATCTTAGGAGGGAAAATATTTTTCTGTATTGTCTTTCAAAGAGGAACATATACCCTACATGAAAATGCAAAAATTGCTCAATTTTCTGATATAAGAGGATTATATTGTTTCTAATTCTTTACTATAATCTTTGTCATTAAACTTTGCATCCTACCACACAAATATCAAAAAGGTGAAGTATTTATCCTTTCCTATTGAACACTTAATGAAAAGTTTTCTATCAGTTTCAAACTGCAAATCCCAAATATCTTGTGCATCTCTAATATATGTTGAGACAATTATAATGAAAAAGAAATTAGGCCCCAGGTAATGCATATATCAACACGTACTTATAAGAAGTTATAAAAATCAGTAATAACATACTAGACAAACTAGTAGAAAAGTAGACAAAATACTTGCAAATATACTCCATGATAATAGAATATTCACATGAAAAGGTGCTCAAATACATTAATCTTCAGAGAAATAATAATTAAAACCACAATGAAAGAATACCATACTCTACCAGAATGCAAGAAATGAAAGAAAAAAAAATAAAGAATCAGTGAGGTTGGAACTAACTGGAGCTCTTTCACAATGTTAGTAGGAACTACTTTGGGAAATTGATTTTTTTTCCTTCACCTCCTCTTCCCCCCCACCCTCCGC